CATGACAGAGGTTGGAACCAGAACTAATGGTTTTTTATTTTCATTGAGAGAGTTGAAACAAACAAATTACACAGAGAAGTACATTAGAATTTCTGATGGAAGATTCTTGACTTGGTTTTTTAAGCTAAGAAGGAAACTTTGAAGGAAAGCTTAGAAAGAAACCTTTCAGTTTTGTTTTCAATTTGGTGGTGTTATACAAATTTAGCTGAAGATGTAAAGCAGTTGTTCCAGAGAAAGCAGGAGGATAGTTTAGATTTGTTCAAAAAATATAAGATTATCTCAGAGTAAAGAGCTTCATAATAGTTTCAGAGCAAAAATGTTTGGGTAAAAACCTGAAGTGGTTATTTGAAGCTGAGAAATTTTAAACTTGAGTCAATGAAAGTTCCAGGAAGAGGCTGTTTGAATCTCCAGTTGAAGTTACCATTAAATTAAGCTGATAGTGGTGATAGAGAGGGAACTTCTTTCTGGTGTGAGTACTGTAAAGTCCTATTCTATCTTAAATTCTTTTGTGAATTAAATTTCCATTTTATTGTTAAACCCAAATCTGCTTATGTTTCAGTGAGAGGCAGCCTTGTTAAAAAGAAAAACACAATATGATCAATTAAACCAGATTTCAGTCTGGGATTTGATTTCTCCAGTGATAATATCAACTAGAATACTAGGTGTTGCAGGCCTTTGGCAGAATTTTTAATGCAGGTCCTTTCATGGGCTCAATGTTCTTCGTCATTGTAGACGCCTACTCAAAGTGATTGAATTTGCATAGAGCTTATTTGTCAAACACAGAGACGATGATCGAAAAACTGTGCAATTTTTGCAACATACAAACTCCTGGAAATGTAATAACAACACAGATAACATTGTTCGCTAGCAGGGAATTTGAGTATTTCCTACAGTTGAATAGGATTCGACATATAAGGATAACTCCATACCATCCCCATCAAATAGTCTAGCAGAAAGAGCAGTCCAAACTTTGAAGGCAGGCTTGAACAAACAGCCTTCAACTTCACAGGATGTCAAGCTGCCCCAGTTCCTATTGGATTGTAGGACCACCCCTCATGCAACTACAGGGATAGCTCCAGCAGAGTTGCTAATGGTTCGAAGTCTCTGCACTGGGTTAAGTCTGATCTTCCCAGATTTGGCGAGGTGGGGAGGATGAAATGGCATCCAGAAAGCCAGTGCCGGATGTCAGATTCTGTCAAGCAAGAGAAAGTTTACCACAGGGGAAAATGTTCTCCACAGAAATCGCCCTCCATGGGTAAGAGGCTTGGTTGACACAAGGAGACAACCAGTGATATATAAGGTTTGGCTAAAAGCAACGGTCCTGAATAAACAGATGGATCATACCAAAGCCCCAAACATGCCAACGATGCAGGAGCAAAACGTGCCCTGCTCCTTGGAACAGTTGGAAAGGCTGTAGAAACTCATAGGTTCTCCCTCTTTGTCAATCATTGAAAATACCTCAGAATCTGAGATGGAAACGGCAGATCTCGCTGCATTGAGGCCTTTACCACCAGAAGAAAAGTGTGACTTTGTCCCAGGATCCTCCCAGTGTAGGAGGTGAGCTCCTGTGCATTACATGCTGCCTGTAACTAGCGGAGAGTTGGAGGAACCTGACCCAGTGCTAAAACATGCAGGATGCGCTACAGGATAAAGAACCAGCCTATGTCCTTGGACTCAGAGGGAGAGGGATGTATTGACTATAACGAGGTCAGCCAGGTGGACCTCATAGAAGTTCTCTGTTGGGGCTGTTAATCTGGTCCAATCAGGGAGTCCTGGCTGACAAATAAAAAGTGGAGTGTCAGACATTCTGACATTCTGGATGTTGACTCTGAGGGAGCTGGACCAGTGTCAAGGACTTTCCACCTGTAAATAAAGGGTGACTTGCAAACTGGATACCAGATTCTGTGGAGTTATTTCAGATGTTACAGCTCCAACAGCAGTCAAGAAGTTTGATTCCATCCAGGACAATGCGATGCACTAGATTGGCTCCACATCCACAAGCATCCTCTCCCTCCAACACAGACACTCAGTAGCAGCAGTATTTACTATCTGCAACATGCATCGCAAAAATTTCCCAAAAATCCTTAGGCAGCACCTTCCAAAGCCATGAACACTTCCATCTGGAAGGACAAAGGCAAGAGATTCATGGAAACATAACCACATGCAAGTACCCCTCCAAGCCGGTCAGGCTTCACTGTCACTGGGTCAAAATCCTGAAATTCCCTCCTTAAGGGAATTGTCGGTCATCGTATAGACTGCAGCGGTTCAAGAAAGCAGCTCACCACCATCTTCTCAAGGCAACCAGGGACAGGCAATAATTCCTGGCCAGCCAGCAATGTCCTTGTTCCCAAGAGTGAATAAAAAAAGTCAACAGATTCCTCAATTGTGAGACTGGGAATTCTCAGGAGTCTGAAACTGAAGAAGGCTCAGCCGGGGTCCTTTGATTAACGGGATCATTTGCTTTTTCGGAAGTGTTTGAATATACATGGTGGTGGGGCTTGGTGGCATGGTGTGAATGCTGATCTATAATCCCACCAGTGCTCTTTAAAAGGATCCACTGTTTTGAGGTTAGTTGTTGATTAATTTCTCTGTCTGAGTTTTATGATGTGCAGAATGGGTTAAGTTTGGTGAAGTAGATGGGTTGCTCCTACATGAGAAATCCTGAAGAGTTTTGGTAAGACTATCTTTTCTTACTCGTACATGCTCTGATTACCCTCCTCTTTGGATTGCAGTTGGAGGGAGACATAGAGCAGAGATATGAAAGAAGAGGACAAGCATACACAGATGGAAGATAGGTCTCAGTAGCTGTCCTTAGATATTTGAAACGTCAGAACAGTTTTCTTGTCTATATCTCAGATAGAGACAGTGTGTATATTGAACTGAGGTCCAGCGATGAAGAATGTTGCATGTGACACTGAGCAGGAACAGTGTATCTTAATGGATCACTTGGGTAACATCAGTTGAAAATATTAGGAGAAAAAAAAAAGCTGTGTTTAGACCTATATTTCCCAGGAACTGTTAGTAACATGGACTTAATTTTGCCTGAAAATTGCTCCGGAAGAGTTGTGAATGCTCCATGTTGAATATATTTAAGGCTGAGGTGGACTTTTGGTTTGGAAAGAGGAGAAGACTATTGTCCCATATGATCCACTCCTACCTCTGTTTGTTATGTTCTTGTGAGCTATTGAATGCATTCTGTTCATGATTTTATGAATGTGGAAGTAGGTGAAAGAGCGATCACTGTTTCAAAATCATGTGCAGATCTTGGCTACCTTATTCTAATTTCTGTCAAGTTCTGTTTTAATCCTTTCAGAAAAGAAATAATTGATTGAAATTCATCAGAAGTTTCCTAATACATATCAGATATCAATATTTAGCATTAAGGGAAATGTGGTTTTTATGTGAAGTGCGCTTTTCATTAGTAGCAATCGTGTCCATTTCTCCTGTTCCACGAGTCTGCCCTTAGATATGCTGTGTTGAATCCTGCAAATGTCTGAGTGAAAAAACACCTGTGAATTGTCTTGCGAACAAATGTCAAATTACAAAGCACGGTGCAGGAGATTAATAATGATTAACAGATTCTTGAGCATTGCATTTGTTTATAAATGGAAATGTATTTTATTTTATTTCAAATCACTTTTTTTGTCAAATTATTAAATATTATTAACTCAATTGTAAAATACGTCCTTGGATTCAATTTGCACAAGAAACTTGTGCAAATATTTACTGAAAATGGCAAAGTTTACTGATCAGTATTTCCAACAGCTATGGGCACAGTGCATACTTAATGAAATGGTTCAGAAACACTGTGTTCTTTGAATGGAAAACTGATAAAAAAATATTTGTGAAGTTACTTGAATGTATTTTTGCAGTGAGGATTTATTTTCAAAACAATGTGAGTGTCAAGTTATTAGCATTATTTCAGTATGTTATACCAAGTGAATTACTTTATGTACATTTTTCAGATCCTTAAGTTTAAGGTAATATTCAAATAAATATGTTAGGCGATCTGGTGCACCAAAAGGCAATATACTTTATTTTAATCACAGTAACAGAACATTCTAGATTCACTTGTTCCAGAGAGAATCTTCAATTGATTATCCCTCTACCTTCTCAGAGAAAGGGATTTATTGATTGTTTTTGTCAACAGTTAGTTGAAATATGATCCTGGAGCAAATAGAGCAAATTTTCTCACAATGACAAAACAGTAAATTAAGGATTTTTTGTTCCAAGTATTAACCTGAATATTTTCATACAAATTATTGCAGCATGTGATTACTGCACCATCAATAAAAAAAATTAGCAAAGCAAATTTTAAAGTCATAGTTTTTTTTGTTGCTCTTCTCTGACTATCTTTGATATGGTAGTTGATATGGTAGTGAGCTGTTGGCCTGGAAATGATACAATCTATCTTGAGTAAGTACATTGACAGTGTTGTTAAGAAGAGAGTTCCAAGATCGTGACCTCGCAGTGAAGGAATGTCAATACTGTTCCAATTCAGCATGCTGTGGGGCTAGGAAGAGAGCTTTCAGGTGGTGGTGTGCCCACGCATTTGCTGCACTTGGCTTTCTAACTGTTAGAGATAATGGGATTGAAAGATGATATTGAAGGAATCTTGTTGAGTTGCTGCCGTCAGTCTTTGTAAATGGCACGCGCTGTTGCCACTACGGTAGCAGTGGAGAGAATGAATATCTGAAGTTGTGATTGGAGTGCAAATCAGAGAGCTGCTTTGTCCTGTAATACCTGGAGCTTCTTGAATGTTGGAGATGCGCTCATCCAAGTGAGTGGAGAGCATCACTCCTGATACGTCGATAGTCCTATAGAGTCATTAGGTTTTGGGGAGTCAAAAGATGAGTTGCTCATGACAGATTTCCCAACTTTTGAACTGCTCTTCTACCCACAATATTTATATGGCTAGTTTAGTAAGTTTCTTGCTATTCTAAATAGCATTTGCCTTTCTGATATACATTTTTCCCCATTCTATTTCTTTTCATCTGTAGAAAACTTGGAGTGACATGGCGACCCTCAGATTTGGACAACATATCATCAAATCCTCTGTAGTTTTTCTCCGAACAGAACTGTCCTTTGCATTAGTGAATAGGAAGCCAGTCGTCCCTGGACGTATCCTTTTTAAAGCAGAGCTTTAACTTCTCACTCTTCACAGTGGAAGGTTGCTCATCAATCGGTGGTGAATCCGAGACCAGGTAAGCTGTTGCCTTAAGGGCCTGAGTTATAAAGAAAACAATGCTTCATATATAAGTCATTGAAATATTATATATTCTTGTAATATGATACAACCTTTGAATTTATTGCCTACCAGCATCATCCATTGATCAGTCACAGCACAATTACCGTAGAAGGAAAAAATGAAATAAATTTAAATAGTATATTGCATTATGACTTTGGTATCCAAGAAAAAATATGATTATTTTCTGCTGTGATCAAGCCATCTAAATGAGATTAGCAAGATGCGTCAATCTATGTCCAGGACAGTATTATGAAAAGACTCATTTCACTTTATTCTGTAATTTTAGGTGTTCCCAATTTCCTGTGTTAAGTCACTTTATTGAATGATTATTATCAAAGTCTAAACTGTCATTTGTCAACTGAAATATCTCACTTCCCTTACTTTGGTATGAACAGTATCTAAGCTTTAGTTATGATACAATTGTTGATCATAGTGATTTGATGCCAGTGGTTCTCCAGTGTCATGATAGCTTATTTTATTCCACTTTTGGTGTATGTTGCAACAGAGCAAAACAGATCTATTCACAATTTCCTGCAACAAATCTTTGACGCATGTGAAGTGTCTGTTGAAAGAAAGTCATGCTCCTGACCTTAATTCATTTTTCTTAAAATGTTCTTTTATCTACATCTATACTTGGTAGCAGAAACCTTTGCAATGTAGTTGATGTTAGTGCAGTTTGACTCACAACCTTGCTTCCTTACAGTAAGTAATACTTTGGCTAACCATGAGGGTTCAACAGTTGAAAGAATCGTTGAAGATGTGGCACTATTGTTATCCAAAAGTTAACGGTATAATTTCTGAGATGAAGGAATTAATTACTCTGTTCATAAATGACAATATCCTGTTGTGGAGTCAACATCAAAACCTTTATAAGAAATTGGCAAACAACACCTTGTATGGAGAATATCAGCTAAATCTCAATAGATTACAGTAAATTCAGAAGTTTTGAGGAATCCTATTATGACTAATTTGATCTTCTGTGTTCAGTCTGATAGTGAATTGGAATCTGTTGTTTTTGCCAGAAGTATTGTGCTATGAAATTGAATTCTTTGGAACAATTAGCAGCCAAATAAAATTACCTTTCTTCTTGTTACTATCTGCTTCCTTCCCACTGTCATTCTTTTGTAACCGGACAGAATGATACCAATACTTCCAGTGAAGATGCAGAAGGCTTGAAGATATGTGCATTAGAGTCACCTAAAAGTTATTAGTTCAATTTTTCAGGGGGAGAGGATTTAATACTGTGTCCAGAAATGATGCTGTAATGTTGCAGAGTCAACACTAGAACCTTTCAAGATTTTCGTAAATGAAACCTGTTGATCTTGGGAGTTTGTGATCACAAGTTACCCAATGTAGGCAGTTGAGCATTTGTAAGCGATTTTCAGTTTGTGTATTGAGTGTGTTTAGAAGCAGCAGTTTAGGTGCGATGCATTATTTAATCGGACAAAGAAGGGAACAATATGACCGGTCACAGCTGAGAAGGCTTTACTCATCTGGAAGCTGTTCTGTAGAATTGAGAAGCAGTGGCATTGGGGCCCCTACCTTTTGGAGTGGTGGCGTATTCATCCCTGATGTCTCGCAGTCTTTGATGGTAACAATCTTTGCTCTCCTCTTGAACCTCTGGTCTTCTTCCAAGAAGGTGATGGTTTGTTCTCCTGGACTTGCTGTCTGTCTCTTTGCTGTCTGTCCGTCTCTCCCTCTCCTTGTCCCCGCTGACCCCTCTGTTTATATATCGTATTTTGGCTGCTACCATTCTATGACGTGTCAGTCACCTGTCTGAACCCTTTAATCCAGTTACTCATGATGTCAGGATGAACGTCGCCCCCTTGCCACCTTCATTGGAGGATTAATTTACCCTTTTTTCTAAGAATAAAATCTTAAATTCCCAAACAATATACTGCAGTCATGTACACGCTACCATCTGCTGAACTGTTCATGCTCGTTCAATGCTGCACTGTGACCTCAGTGATTCCTATTATTCTTATTACCTTTAATTTTGTTTTCAAGTGCTAGAGATCTGTTTATATTTGTAGAAGATGAGTTCCTGGTGTCTTACTGCACAGAAAATAGTAAATGTGAGACAGTAGATGAATTTAGTTTTCAAAAGGACCTCAATTTGCAAAACAGCTTGTACGCCAACAATTATGCTCAAAAACTGCACTTCTGGAAGTGACTCGAATTGAAGTACGCACTATATGTGCCCATCCTTCACTTGCTGGACAAAACACTGTTTTTACTGGGAGAGGTTTATCTGGCTTCGTTCATAAAAATTTTAAATAGACCACATATGGAGTTTGATGTGGTACAGTACTTATAAAGACTATGTTGAGAAACTGGACTTTAAACTTTTCTGCTTCCAGTTGGTTGGCTGACATATTGCAACTCATTGTCTTTTTGTTTGTTTTCAATTTTGCTTGCGGGCTTTAAAGAGTACTTGTGTTCAGTGGATGAATGGTCACCTACTATGCACTCCATGATTTGTGTTTCCATTGCCTTTTAACAATAAGAAAAATCAGGCACAATGTTCAATGGGTAGTTGATCCAATGCCACCTATTTTACACCTGCACTAAAGCTGAAGGTTCTGCCCCTTTTGTGTTCCTCCTGTGCAGCCAATTTTACTATAAACTATCTTCATATAGTGCAGCTTAGTGCTTTTTCCATTGATTGAATTAATGTGTAATATTAAAAAGAATTTTTTAAAGCAAGGTATTTGCGTGAGACCCAGGGTGCTAACCATGGGAGATTGCAAGAGCACTTCAGAAACAAAACTTCTTACTCCTCTTTTCTGATCACACTTCCTTCTAGTCACTTTGTATATCTCACTCTGTGTATTTTCCTTCAGCTTACTTTCTAAATCTTTTGCTACATTTATCTATATAAAGATTGCACCTCTGAGAATCAATCTAAACCTTTGTCAATAACTTAAGAATATAGTATTTATATTTTATTAATATTAATGAATGTTCAAAGGTTCTCAGAATGTCCTTAACATCTTTTTTTGAAACACTTCTTTGTTCTGATCATACCAATTATCTTGATTCAAACAGAGTTGTTGCTTTTATATACTGGAAGAAAGTTAGTGAAATATTTTGCATATTAGAATTTCACATCAAAGGGATTGTTAACTAAATTCAAAATGGAAAATGCAAACTGAAAATTGTTTGAGAGATTCCCTGATATGTCTGCCATCAGAGGCTGCATTAACAAATCTTGTATTCTTTATGCTGGTATAGGTACCATAAAAATTCTGGCATCTGACCAACTTTGTACTTATCAATATCAACACACCCACTACGGTCTGTGTCCTGTGCAATAAAAAATATGGTAGGTGTGAAGATGCAGACGCATTTGGTCAGTTGTTTTAAGTTGATTTCCTGCAAGCATATCAATAAAAGAACAGTTGCAAAGCAAAAAAAATTATGGTTCAGAGTGTGCCTTGCTTCCGAATTGATATTTGTAGTAAACATTGAAGGCATCTTAAAATTGTGAATGAGAATTAATTATAATAGATTTACATGGTTAATACATTATTTAAAGTTAATGATGAATTCTCCTACTTGGTCTGACATGTGGAATGATTTCATTTTATCCTGGTATTACGGATGGTGGTGGGTCTTGGATGAAACCGGTTTCTTGCCAAAAAGTCCTGGAAGAATTTTGAGTCTAGACTGTTGGTAAGATCACCTTTGTATTTAACTTACTGCTATTTATTTAAGATAACAAGGTGTAGAGCTGGATGAACACAGCAGGCCAAGCAGCATCAGAGGACCAGGAAAGCTGACGTTTCGGGCCTAGACCCTTCTTCATTTTCTGAAGAAGTGTC